TTCACAGGCGCTGAAAGCTTTTTATATGTTATGACAGTAGATTACCGATTTACTGTTTATATAATCTCACTTGTCTATTTCACCACACGTTCTTCTTACCGAGTCACTTTCTCAGTTCGATACTTAAAAGCAATGTCATTATTTAGCGTTGACAGAATTTCTAACTGTGATATAAGATATGTCGTTGTCACAGTGAAAACTCAATGTCTGTTTTATTGACACCTAGCACGACAGCCGATAGACTGTAAGAGACAATCTGGCAGCAGTGTGTAGTGTAGCCCGGTCAGGAGTATCAGCCAGGGTAAACAGCAGGCTGAGATGAGAGAGTGACCTAGCGATACACAGATCAGCCCTGTTTGGGGTTGCTGTCAGATGGAGAATACATTACGACATTGTTTTATGGTATTTTGGTTTATCATGCCCAGAGGTTGGCCAACCCAGATGTCGAACATCCATCAACTAAAACTGGGAGATTACTGATCAACATGTCATGTGTCACGCCGACTGTTTCAAATATGTACACTTGCAGTATCAGATTTTAGAGAGAAAAACTCTGGTGCACACTGATAAAACTTAACACAGCATGTTTCGCTTTTTCAAAATGGTTTTGTGTCCCCATAAATCATGAAAATTCAACTCATGTCTAATGGCCATAATCACCACATAAAACTATTTGTTGCTTTATATGGAAGCTACTGAAACTACCATAAAACTATTTGTTGCATTGTTAATGGTGAACCATACCTAGAACACTGCAAGATAGAGAAAACACAATCGTATCTACTTGACAAAACTAAGACTGAGTTATCACAGACTAATAAATGAACTGGGAAGAAGAGCAAGACCACCTACACCACTGGAGGACCGTCTCTGTGATCAATGCTTAGTCCTTGAGGATGAATGAGTGAGCTAGATGGGTTTTACGCTGCTTTTAGCAATATTCCAGCAATATAACGCTTGGGGACAGCAGAAATATAAACAGGATTACATATTCCACCTACATACCATACATTAACTGTATATTCTTGCTATCTATACAAATAATCATTCAAAGCTAGTTGAAAATTTTGTCTTAAATACTTCAAACCAAGATGAATTTTTACAAATTCCAAGTGAAACCTACACACCTACAGTTTCTAGGTAACCTACCTAACCCTTAAAGAGAAAACTAACCCTAAGGATCCAAAGGGGTGTTTGACCGAAAGGTGATCCAAGGGCTAAGGATACAGTTTCAAGGTAAGGTAAGGTAACCCTACCCTAATCCTTAAAGAAAAACTAACCCTAAGGATCCAAAAGGGGTGTTTGACCCGGAAAGGGATCCAAGGGCTAAGGATACAGTTTCAAGGTAAGGTAAGGTAACCTACCCCTAATCCTTAAAGAAAACTAACCCTAAGGATCCAAAGGGGTGTTTGACCGGAAAGGGGATCCAAGGGCTCAGGATACAGTTTCAAGGTAAGGTAAGGTAACCTACCCTAATCCTTAAAGAAAACTAACCCTAAGGATCCCAAAGGGGTGTTTGACCGGAAAGGGGATCCAAGGGCTAAGGATACAGTTTCAAGGTAAGGTAAGGTGGCTCCCACCCTAATCCTTAAAGAAAACTAACCCTAAGGATCCAAAAAGGGGTGTTTGACGGAAAGGGATCCAAGGGCTAAGGATACAGTTTCAAGGTAAGGTAAGGTAAGCCTACCCTAACCCTTAAAGAAAACTAACCCTAAGGATCCAAAGGGGTGTTTGACCGGAAGGGGATCCAAGGGCTAAGGATACAGTTTCAAGGTAAGGTAAGGTAACCTACCCTAATCCTTAAAGAAAAACTAACCCTAAGGATCCAAAAGGGTGTTTGGACCGGAAAGGTGATCCAAGGGCTAAGGACACAGTTTCAAGGTAAAGGTAAGGTAACCCACCTAACCCTTAAAGAAACTAACCCTAAGGATCCAAAGGGGTGGTTGATTGGAAGGGGATCCAAAGGGCCAAGTAATCGTAAAGGGTGTTTGATTGAGCAAGTGGTGGCCATCCCGGAGTATGCAAGACCTGTGACCCTAGAGCCCAAATCCAACAGGCAGAGTCTGCTGGTGAATACAAAGTGGCACAGAGCTAGCAGCAAAACTGCATTGTTGGCCATAAATATATGCTTAATACGGCGAATACATTATACCACATGGCGGACATGACTGGGTACAATGAAAGCAAAGATTGTACAATCTCCTACCTCACACAAGCTGCCATGTTGCCAGTATTCAGGGGCTGTGGAGAGTTGTGTCAGATTGTTGTGTCAGCAGGTGACCTTGGTCAGGGTCTGCAACATGGTCCAACACAATGAGCATGATGTGCACAACTAATTATGAGCCTATGCCAATGAAAGGTAACGCACAATGGAAAACCAAACAAAGCAATGATGCCATTTTAGCTGTATTTGGAAGTTTAGATATGAAGGTATGACATAAAACGAGCATTTGAGCAAGATTCCATGATGATTAAGTACAGAAGTGTTACCATGGTGATTAATAATGCAAAAGAGTGACTAATATCAGAGAAATGACTGATTTTACATACTTACAAAACCAGAGGGTTAAGAGAGAATCCAGGGTTTGATGTGGGTCAGAGGCTGTGTGGCAGTGGGCCTGTTGAGCAGCAATGGAATAGAGACAAACAACCTGGTCAGTGAAACGGGACAGTGTGTGGTGACATGCCAGAAATATACAGAAATTGGGATGTAAATAGTTATACTGACATTGCATTGTACTAAGCATTAACATACTGTAACAGAACTGGATGCCATTAACTATCTGGTGATTACAAGGTGAATAAACAGCCAAACTGCCAAAGGAGTAAAGGAAATATCTTATGAATGAGATGAAAATGCACAAACTATAAACTATGAAAGAGACCAAGGTGTGTGTCCCACAATGTGCACAAGCAATTTCTCACCAGCTGACAGTGAGGGTCAAACTGTAATGAAACTAAGACATTGTAACTGCAGCCAGTAAGCTACCACAGCTGATAACAAATGGCACTAAACATAGTGCACTTGGATAGACTACTGGGTGACAGTGGACTCGAGTGATGGTGGCTGTGGCAGCAAACTATGGCAGAAAGGCGAAATGTGAAGTACATCATGTTTACAACATATTTAAGAACACATATTGAGATGAAAGTTAACATATTGATGCATATGGTCCAAACTGAATGGCAGTGTTTTTGGATGAAAACTGTAGTCCAACAACAACAACAACAACAACAACAAGGGGGTGCACATGCAAGTATACAAGGAAAATGCAATCCTCTCCCCTCGGCACGACAACACCAGCAGGCATGGGGTTTTATGAGTAAGTAATTGCATGTATATATACTTACATCGACATGTGTGTAGTGGTTGGTTGAATAACATCGACAGCAAGTAGGAAAAGAAAGAAACAAAAGAGAAAAAGCCCCGCCACACACACACACAATAATACACACACACACACAGCTACGAAATGAATTATTTCTGTGATGTAAACAAACACTGCACTGAAGCCTTACAAACGTGATGTCAGTCATTATAGTAATGTCTCTGAGTGGGGTATTCGTATACTGCTGCCGTGGTATGTCTCAGCAGACTAGCACTATAAAACAGCTTCTGTCTGGGCTAGTACAAGCAGCCGCACATACACACACAAGCATGCACGCTTGTCCTATGAGCGAAATATTCTCAAACGCGACGTTAAACCCAATTTCACTTCACCTCAACTCACTTCATTCACTTTTCACTCTCAGAGCACGCAACTTCACTTCAGGGTAGGTTTGCTTCAAAGTGGAGCAAAACTAAACTCACTCACTCAGAGACAGTTGGTTAGCCTAGTGGTTAAAGTGTTTACTCCCTTGCACCAAGGCACCCAGTTCGAATGTCCATATGTGTTTTATGGGACAGTTTATTATGTAAACTGCCATAATATGCAGGAATGTTGATAAAAACGGGCTTATTACCTCCCTCCCTCCCTCACTCACTCACACTCCAGAGCAGTCAAATGCGCTTCTGACACTTTCTGGCTTTCCTCTCTTCAGGGCAGTTGTGGTTAGCCAAGTGGTTGAAGTGTTTGCTCATCGCACCAGGACCCCAGTTTGAAACCCCCATGTGGGTGGTGGCGTCTAGGTTCCACTGCTATGATATTGCAAGAATGTTACCGCAAAGTGGCATGAAACCACACTCATTCCTTCCTCTCACTTTTAGTGCAGTCAAATGCTTCAAACATGACTGTATGTATTCAGTATATAGGTTATGTTAATGTCACCTTTTACATCCATGAGAGGTAAGATTGAAAGCTGTGAATTTCACTTCCACTGACTGAGTTTAGTTTTATGCCGCTTTTAGCAATATTCCACCAATATCACGGGGACACCAGAAATGGGCTTCACAGATTGTGCCCATGTGGGAATCGAAGCCAGGTCTCCAGCGTGATGAGCCAACGGCTTTAACCACTAAGGGCTACCCCCTCCCGGCCACAATTTCACTTCCAACTGACACTTTCTACTTTCCTTACTTCAGTAGCATTTGGTTAGCCTAGTGGTTAAAGTGTTTGCTCGATTGCACCAAGACCCCCATTTGGATCACCACATGGGTAATTCTTGGTGTTTAGCCCGTTTTTGGTGTCCACTGCTATGATATTGAGGCATGTTGATGAAGACGGCATACAACCTCACTCACTCACTCACTCACTCATTCGCTCACTCACTCACTCACCACTCACTCACTCAAATGCTTCAAACGTAGCTATATGTATTCAGTACATAGGCATTTTGTTGTTTTTTTAATCTTTTATTGATCCCCTTACCATGAATACATGTACAAGCAGTGAATGTGAATATAGTTAAGTAACATTGGAGCTCAGAGAGTCCTTGGATGGGTGACTGTGTTTTGCAGCTTGACTCCTGAGAGATTCTAGGACCTTAGTCCCATTCCCACAATGAACCACATGTGATACATAGGATCTCACCTTTAGACAAGAATGACTTTGTTAAAATTTGCCTCTGTTCCCCAGCAGAAAATGGGTAGCCAGTGGGGGATAAAGTCATGTGACTATAACCTTCTAGTGCCTACAACAGGCAGTTTAGGACGTTATCCAGGGTAATAATGTTCAGATTCTGATGACCCAGCATCCAGTGAGCAAATACTCAAGATGGATCACTAGGCACTGTATAAATGAATTATTATTATCATATTATTATAGTACATATTGACATATTGATAATAGTTGTACATATTCCAAAATACCACTAATGCCACAGTCAAATTATGTGCACTGAGGCATCCATTTTTCTGTTGAAGCAGAGAAAACTGTTGAAGGTCTGACATTTACATGTACAGAGAGTGATTATGGTATTTGCTCAGTACACAAAGACCCCCAGTTTGACTCCAAATATGGGTAATATACATGGTGCCATAATATACAGAATGGTGCTTGAAAGTGGCATAAACCTCACTCACTCACTCACTCACTCACTCACTCCCACTCACTCACACTTAGAGCTGTAGACAACTGACACTTTCTACTTTCCTCACTTCAGGGGCAGTGGGGTAGGTTGGTGGTTAGGGGCATGTTTGAATCTCCATATGGGTACTATGTCTTGGGTCTGGTGTCCCACTGTCCACTGCTGTGATATTGCAGGCATGTTGTTGCAAGTGGCATAAAGTGTTTGCTCATTGCAGAAAGGCCTCAGTTCAGGATACCCACATGGGTACTATGTGTCAAACCAGTGTTTGGTGTTCACCGCTATGATATTGGAGGAATGTTGATGAAAACAGCATATAACCTCCCTCCCTTCCCTCACTCACTCACTCTAAGCCCACAGTTTCAATCCCCATGTGGGTACTTTCCATATGTGGTGCCAGTTTCTGATGTCAACTGCCTTTATATGCAGGAATATTGTTAAAGTGGTATAAAACCTCACTCTCTCTCGGTCACTCACTCACTCACTCTGTAAGTACAGTCAAATGATTGAAACATAGCTTGAAACATAGCTGTAATGATATTGGAGGAATGTTGATGAAAATGGCTTATAACCTCCCTACCACCTCTCACTCACTCTTAGAACAGTCACATTCTTTGAAACACAGCTGTATGTATTCAGTACATAGGTTTTGTAAATGTCAGTTGCAAATGGCACTCTCTACTTTCCTCCTTCAAGGGCAGTGGGTTAGGTTGGTGGTTAGAGTGTTAATTTGCAGATTGCATCAAGACCCCCAGTTCCGACCCCCACATAGGCAAGTACTATGTGTCAAGCCACTTTAATGTTTGGTTTGGTTATTTGCTTACTTCATCAACAGTTGGTTAGCCTATTGGTTGAGGTGTGTTTGCTCATTACACCAAGTCCCCCAGTTCGGATCCCCACATTGGTACTTGAGTGTTAAGCCGTGTATTTTTTATGTCCACTGCTATGATATTTTAGGAATGTTGGTGAAAACGTTATATAGCTCCTCACTCACTCACTCACTCTTATTAAAAGACTGACTGACTGACTGGAGGTTTAGTTTTTACGCCGCTTTTAGCAATATTCCAGCAATATCACGGCGGGGACACCAGAAATTCTTATTAAAAAGAGTAAAAGAAGACCCTTAGTTCGAATCCCTATATAGGTAATGTGTGGTGCTTAGTTTCTGATGTCAGCTGCCAGTATATGCAAGGGAAGAATATTGTTGAAAGTGGTACAAAACCTACCACTCCACTCACTCCACTTTTAGAGCATTCAAATGCTTGAAACATAGCTGTATGTGGTGAGTTCATAGGTTTTGTTAATGTCACTTGCAAACTGCACATCCTACTTTCCTCACTTCGGGGGCAGTGGGTTAGGCTAGTGGTTATAGTGTTTACTCTTTGCACCAATACCTCCTGTTTGAATCCCCATGTGGGTTTCACTGCTATGATATTGCGAAAATGTTACTGAGAGGGCATAAAATTACACTCTCACTCACTCTTAAAGAAGTCCAATAACTGCAACACTCTCTTCTTTTCCTCACTCAGGGGCAGATGGGTTAGCCTAGTGGTTGAAGTGTTTGCTCATTGCACCAAACCCCCAGTTTGAATAATCTCATGGGTACCATTTCATCGGTCCACTGCTGTAATATTGCAGAAATGTTGCTGCAAGTGGCGAAAACACCTCACACACTCACTCACTCTTACAGCAGTCAAACGCTTGGAAACATAGCTCTATGTATTCAGTACACAGGTTCTGTTAATTTCACTTCCAACTGACACTTTCTACTTTCCTCACTCTAGGGGCAGTGGGTTAGCCTAGTGGTTGAAGTGTTTTCCTATTTACACCAAGTCCCTGAGTTCAGATTCCCATGGGTAGGTTGTGCTTTAGCAGGTGTTTGGTGTCCACTGACTCATGGAGCAGTCAAATAAACGTTGCAGGAATGTTGATGTACAAACAGCAAATAGTCCACATAATAGTAATAGTTGTAATTACATTTTCTGAAAGAAACAGTTGAGCATACACAACAAAAAGTGAATATACACATTAAATAATTAGTAATGTGTCAATCACAAGGGTGTCAATCACAGGGAATCACTGTTTGGACAGTATTTTAGGCACATGTCACGAAATTAATAAAAAGGTAGTCCAATAGTCCTGTCCCTTGGAAGGAAATTAATAGAAAGTCCAACTAGTCCAAGTAGCAAACATAGCTGTATGTTTCATAAAATGTTCATTTCTTCACCAATTGTTCTAAAAAATTTCTTTGAAATGGAAATTTGTTAATCATACCATATATAAACAATATATGATTGCAAAGTCTAGATTTCTATTTTGAAAATTATTGTCCAAACAGTGATTTGAACCCTTGTCTGAGAATGCGTGTTCTTGGAAGGCCAAATAATATGGTTTGCTTTGTCAGTGAAATGCCTCTGAGTACAAGTCTTATTATCCACAAGGGTCATTCGAAGCAACTCATACTTTGTGTAAATAATTCTGTGAATAAATCTGTACTGGAAATGCACAAACTTTGTATCTTTTGTACATTTTCTAAAGTTAGTAGAAACCAATTTCCAGTCACTCACTCACCCTGGAGCATTTTCC